GGCCAGGACCACCATCTCAGGCCCGAGCAGAGGAGGGGCATACAGACTCCTATTGTCTACCTGGGGCCTCTCTGATGCCCAGTCAGGAAGCCCCCTTCACAAACAGAGTTGCCTCTGCCAGCCCTCGGGGACCTGGGGAATACATTTGCCCGGCCTTTGGTCTGTGTGTTGAGACTCATGCCACACCGAATTTCATCTGGGAGGAAAAGCTGTTTCAGATGACCATGAATAGCAGCTTTCATCGGCTGTCACTTCCCATTAAGGCCAGCATAACATGGAAATGTACTAGAGGCTGCTAGAGGCCTGGAATGGTAGTAGTTCTTTCTATTCTAAACATTTATTAACTTCATTTATCCTTTTAAAAAGGTTAATCGGTCCACTTGGCTTCCCTCAGTCCCACTGCCCCTTGCTTAGGTTCACCTGACTCTTTGGGGTGAGAATTTTGATACCTCAGTCCAGCTCTGGGTGGAATTTAGATGCCACTCTAGATTACTTCTGGAGCTCCATTCTGTGTTATTCCCTTTGGAGCAGTCAGCTGTGTGCCTCAGCTTCCTCATGTGGGCTCGGTCTCAGAGAAACTGAATGCATCTTCTGAACTAGGAGACATGGGATAATGCTACTGTGAGCCAGTATTCTGTCTTATATTTGCCATTAGTAATAGTGATGGGCTTACTTCAGTGGCATTTGGTAAGCCAGCTCGCTGAAAAAACAAAAACAAAAAAAAAAAAGAGGGGCCCTGGCTAATGTGGTTCAGGGATTAGAGAGTCTAACCATGCACCAAAGGGTCTTGGGTTTGATTCCTAGTCAAGGGGCATGTACCTGGGTTGCAGGTTAGATCCCTGGCCCCCGTTGGTCATGTGGGAGGCAACCAATTGATGTGTCTCTCTCACATTGTTCTCTCCTCTCTCTCTCTCTCTCTCTCTGCCTCTATCCCTCACTTCCACTCTCTCTAAAAAGCAAGGAAAAATGTTCTCAGGTAAGGATTTTAAAAAAAGGAAGGAAGGAAGGAAGGAAGGAAGGAAGGAAGGAAGGAAGGAAGGAAGGAAGGAAGGAAGGAAGGAAGGAAGGAAGGAAGGAAGGAAGAAAAAAAGACAGGAAGGAAGGAAGGAAGGAAGGAAGGAAGGAAGGAAGGAAGGAAGGAAAGAAGGAAGGAAGCCAGCCATATTTGTAGTGCTTGCCGAGCTCTACAATGTAAATGCTACTACCATGGTTGATCTCAAGCTACCAGCATGGCATCTAGATGTGAAGTCAATGAAGTTGGGAAGAGCTGCAAACAATTGGCTCTAGTAAGCCAGTAGAACTCAGCTCCAGCACAAGGCTGGCCCATGGGCCCATTGGTTGGTTTTACAAAGCTGTGTGATGAGTACAGGCATAGAAATTTATGGGCCTATATTCTTCAAGCCAGCACAGATAATAAAAGAGCTGGATCTAAGGGATGGAGGAAGCAGGAATAGGGGAGGACATGATTGGCTGAAGTCCAAGGTAGGTGACGTAATGTGCCTTAAGCTCCAGCCTAAAACCAAACAGGTAAGAAGAACAATTTATTGGCCATTTAAGATGTTGAAACAGGCAATGGAAACAGGCCAAGCCTGCCTGTCCGGACCCTCAAAATCCTGCTTAGGTTTGGCCTTTCTATGGATAAACACAGAATTGGGAACCAGGCCTTATTTATCCAGGCTTAATAGAAATCTCCAGATTCTATTGTGCTGGGCAGGCAGAAGAAGGAATCTAAGTAGCTCTGAAGAAAAATGAGCTTCACTAGTAATTTTCTATATAAGCTGTATGACTAAAGTAAACTTGCATGAAATCAACTGCCCTCCCTGATAACCACTGATTAGTTTAAGGATCAGTGCATGATTCAGAGCAACTGTACATGGGACATGCACAGTAGAGGTCAATGGCCACTGGGTGATCTGGGACAAACGCCTCCCAATAAGGACACTTGTACAACATGGTGGCAAAATGGCCCCATCAGGTCCTCTTGGGGAAAAGACATAAATGTAAAGTAAACACAGAAGAGTTTCATCATTTGCCCTCAGTTTTTTCTCTGTGACGTGTGAGAAGATGCTTTTCTGGTTCTGTGAAATGTGAGGCATATCCAGTGCTGTAAACACAAGCCCCTCCCCTTCCTTTCAACACAGTACCCATGTCTGCCTCTGTTTCCCTCCAGAGTTAGACCAGTCCTGTGATTAAGGAAATTGCCATCTAGGAATATAAGACTTGTATACAAACAACATTTGTCAAGTGTCACTAAGGGGCTCCAATGAGGGCTTGGAGAAGAGGGGAGATAGCTTATGTTGAGTGGTTGGAGAAGGATTTGTTACACAGCCTTGCAATTTGTCATTAAAGGATTCAGAGTAGGAAGACCTGAGAAGTGAGGAGGTGACGAGAACATCCTAGAATCCATGGGCCACTGTATTAGAGTCCAGCAGGCATGGACGGTGAAGAGAAGCAAAATATACCACCCAAAATGTGCCTCTTTGCAATATTGATTATTGGTTTGATTGCTTTTAAGAAATAGCAGACAGAGAATTATCTCTAAAAACTGAGTAAAAACTACCCTTTGAAAGAGACATATACACTTATAAGGGAAACCTTCCTCTCTGTACCAGGAAGAGGGCATGATTAAACATCTAGAAACTCTTATTACTGTAGAAGGTATGGATTTAAATCTGCATAACAACTGTACCCTTTTTAATTGTGCTTTTCCTGGCCACCTGCCATACATAACTGGTTCCCTCTTCCCCTCAACATCTTCTTTTGACTGCAGGTGGATATGCCATTTAGAGTGGCAGCTTGGGCAGTTTTTAAGGAGTTAGTTTTCCTGGGGGGGGGTCTCTCATGTGTGCAAGGGGCATATAAGCTATTAAATGCCTATTTGTTTTTCTCCTGTTAATCTGTCTTTTATTACATAGGGGGTCTCAGCCAAGAACCTAGAAGGGTAGAGAAAAATTATTTTTCCTCCCCTGCAACAGTAAGCTGGGGAACAGGAAAGGAAGGAAGAAATCATAGAAAATAATAATAGCAAGAAATGATTCAGACCATACCATGGAAAGATTTTAAATGGTAGCTGAGAGGCTGGAATATAAGGCATATATATATAAACAAAATATAAATAATGAGCTAACAAACATTTCTGACTAGTAAGAAGACTCTTAAAGAACTGTTTGGAAAATTACTATGAAGCCAGGAACAGAAAAGAAATAAGATCCTATTTCACTGATCCACCCAGAAACAATTCAACATTGAAACCTTTTCTGATTGGGATGCCATTTGTATTAAAAGATGACAACTGATATGATATCTGGCATCAGTGAAAAGAACACGGGGCGTGCAATTCTAGCTCTGCAGGTAAATCAACTCTGCCTGGACCTCCTGCCAGGGCTGGGCAAGGGCCACGGGAGAGGTGGTTCTGACTTAGCCTAGCAGCTTACAGCAGAATGAACGAGGTCTGAATAATCAAAGAAAGCAGAGATAATAGGATTCTTTATTACATTTTTCTTTTGGTTTTTCTCTATAAAACTGCAATCTCTAGAGCAGAAGATATCACTTCTATTACAAACTTACTCTCATAAGAACACGTTTAGAAATAAATGGAATAGATTCATCACAGAATTGTTGCAAAGAATAATATAAAACTATTTAGCACTGTGCCTATGAGAATTGCTTAGAAAGCTTTCCAAATATGACTCATTTGACTTTGAAACTCTCAAGAATAAAGTCCCCTGTGATGATGTACCTGTCATGCGCACCACAGGCGGTGGAGCAGTGAACTAAAAGGGAGGCCCTGGAGCCAGACTGTCTGGTTCGTAACCAGGCTCTATACAGTGATGGCGAACCTTTTGAGCTCGGCGTGTCAGCATTTTGAAAAACCCTAACTTAACTCTGGTGCCATGTCACATATAGAAATTTTTTTATATTTGCAACCATAGTAAAACAAAGATTTATATTTTTGATATTTATTTTATATGTTTAAATGCCATTTAACAAAGAAAAATCAACCAAAAAAATGAGTTCGCGTGTCACCTCTGACACGCGTGTCATAGGTTCGCCATCACTGCTCTATAATTTGCCTCCTTTGGAAACTCAAGCACTTAGCTACCCCATGCCTCAGTTTTCTCTTCCATAAACTGATGTTGAGGCTGCTGGGACCATTAAGTGAATTCACACATAAACTTAGACTAGTACCTAACACATAGTTAGCACTCAATAAATATTAGCCAGGATAGCTACCACCTTCTCCCTACCTTATGTTTACCTTTGTTCCATCAGAGGGAAGCTTGCTGAAGTCCTCCAGCACACACAGGAGCCGGGCCTTTCATCCCTCCGGAACCTACCTGTAACTGAGCATTTCATGCTGCTTGTCAGAGAAATTGTCTGCATTGAGCCCGGTTCAGTCTGCAGACAAGAAGGGGTTTTCGTTGCTGTCTCTCAAAGTCGCCCTTGGGTGGCTTTCTGGAGGCTTCCCCCCCCCCTTTCTCCAGGGCCTCTGGCTTGCTCAGGACCCCCAGCATGCCCCTGCCTCCCCTCCCATGCCCTGCAGGACCCCTCCCTTCGGGTGGTCAGGGGGAGCAGGACTGCGTTGGGCAGTGCTTATTCTAGGGGAGCAGAGAGAGTGCCCAGTCTCCCTCTTTCCTCCTGAACACAGCTGCTTCCTTGTCTCTCGGGGCCTTTTAAAGCAGTTAGATATTTTTAAAAAAAAAACAAAACTTTTTAGGTCACCACCAAAATCTACAACATCTACACCAACATCTAAATAAAACTTTAAAGAATGGCCCAGTAGGCGTGGCTCGGTTGTTGAGCATCGACCTGTGAACCAGGAGGTTACGGTTTGATTCCCAGTCAGGGCATATGCCTGGGTTGTGGGTTTGATGCCACACCTTCTCATCTGCCACACCTTTTTCCTTTTCTCATTATCCTATCAATTATTTCTTTTGGAATTCAATTCTCCGAGTTACATTCTGAGCACCAAATTTTTGACCAATGTCGGATATCCTCATCATGTTTTTGCAAATCTAAGTCATCCTGTTGGGACCAAATGGGATACCCATCAGCCCTGTGACCAGACTCTAAAAAGGAAGTAGTAGCCTCCAGCTCACCACTATGTTTTAGGAAGGCCTGCGTAACTGTTGACAGATCCGAGTTAAACTTTTCCATTAACTGCTGGATGATCTTAATGGCAGCTCCCACTTCTGGTGGAGAAACTTATTCTTCTTCCTCATCAGACTGCGTTTTTGAGTCTTCCTCAGGTGTGGGCGGATCATCATCACACATTGTTATGTGTATTTCAAAATCCTCCACCACAACCTCCTCAAAGTCCTGGGTGGATTCCATAAGCATCTTTTTGACTCCTTCTTCATTCTCCTTGATCTCTTCCTCTACAAATTCTCCTTCTCCTCCTTGTCCTCCTCCTCCTCCTCCACCTCCTCTTCCTCCTCCTCCTCCTCCTCCTTCTTTTTCCTCTTCTTCTAACTAATGTACATGTGGGTCTCCTAAGAGAACTTTAGTTTATCTATTTCTTACTCACAATTTGCTGTCCCTCACCTATTCTATACACCTACCATCTCAGTCCAGATCTCTTAAGAAATGCCATTCTCCTCATTATAAGAGAAATGAATCTGGGATGCAATGTAAGCATGGTGACTGTGGTTGACAATGCTGTGTTGTATATTGAAAAGTTGCTAAGTGAACAGATCTTAAAAGTTTTCACCACAAGGAAAAGAGTTTGTAACTATGTGAGGTGGTGAACATTAAACTTATTATGGTGATCATTTTGCAATATACACATATATCAAATCAATATGTTATATACCTGAAACTAATACAACTTATATGTCAATTATATGGCAATAAAACTGGAGACGCAATTTAAAAGCCATTCTTCAGGTACAGGGAGAATAAACTTGAGAGTAATTCCCTTAGTCCAAAGTTCCTATTCTGAAGAAAACAATAACTAACCCCTTTTCCTCATATAATCTTCTGAATACTTTTTTGAGAGAGAGGGAGAGAGAGATAGAAACATAAATGATGATGGAGAACCACTGATTGGCTGCGTCCTGTACGCCCCCTACTGGGGATCAAACCCACAACCCAGGCATATGCCCTTGACCGGAATTGAACCCAGGGCCCTTCAGTCTTCAGGCCGATGCTCTGTCCACTGAGCCAAACTGGCTAGGGCTGAATACTTTTTAAAAGAGCAAATCAGTAGATGAGCCATGGTTCATCACAGGAAGGTGGGGGCAGGCTAGTGTGTGGAATAAATGGGAAGGGAGCAAAACCAAGGAGTTTAGGGGTTCTCTTCTCCCCCTCCTTCTGCAGATAGGATTTTGGAAGAATTTAGAATTTGGGGACACTCCCTCTTATACTTTCTCTGACTTCATTTGCATTTGCTCCCAGCAATGCACAGGGCAGGGTCTCAGCAGGATCTCAGGAAAACTCTGGAAATCAGCTCCAATCACTGCTGTTCCCATTTCCATGGCCTCTGAATGCTGGTGGAGGCAGAATGCTAATCTGATGCGTAGGGTTCATGGGTATCTGCCAAATAATTTGATTAAGGTGGGCGAGGGGTATGAAGGAAGAAAAGGAAAGGTTGTTTCCCAGATTAGGCTGAGGTTTTCCTGGATTGGGAGAGAGATAGAAAAACAAAAAATTCCTAGACAAGGTTCCCAGGACCCGGGAGCATAGCCAAAGAGGTGAGAAGTGTGGACGAAAGGGGCCACATGCTAACCTGACAAGTTCAGGGGAGGCCTGCATGGCGGTCTTGCAAACTCAGAGACCTAAAGTAACCACAAAGGATGGTCTGAAATTAAACTTTTACTAAAAGCAGTTATGGTGAGTAGTTACATCCTAGGCTGGTATCTTCACTGACATGGTCAACCTTTACCTTAACTGAGCCTATCTGTCTTTTTGCATCTATAATAATAACATACCCTTGAAATGTCTGGGTAACTTGTAACTTCCCTTTTTCCGGACCCCTTGGGGCACAGCCTAATGTGCCTGGGCACCAGGACAGAGACCACAAATTCATTCATTATCATGTTAATTGTTCCTGCACCCACCTAAGTATGTGTCTATCATTTTACTTTGTATCCAATCCCAGGGGTTTCCCTGATTTGCTTTCTCCCACCTCTATTCTATCGCCAATGGATTTCATGTAACCCACCTACGTCCCTTTCCTTTGATTGCAATATATAAATACAGATGTAACCCGCCATTCTCCGGAGCATTATCTCAATTCATTGAGGTTCAGCTTCCTGGCATATGTCGACAGTTTGGCTCAAATAAACTCACAAAAATTCTTTACAGGTTTCAATGTTTTTTATGTTAACAGAAGGAAAAGGCTCCACTGCTGGGACGCCCCTTAACACAGACCCTGCAAAGGACCAGGGACTTTCTCCAGCAGAGGGGGGTATGGGAGCCGAGTCCCTGGCCTGGGATTCTCCCACCTTCACTGGTGAGTGTGGGCCCTTGGGCACTGACCACAGGGGGGTTACATGTTATATTGCAATAGTGCTATAGAGACATCATTAATACAATCTCACATTATATGGGGGGGATGGGAACACAATGTAAAAGGCCCATTTTCCAAAGGTTGCAGATGAAATGAAGTGACGAGCCACAGCATGCCAAATGACCAAATGTATTGTCACCTTTGCCAAGTAGCAGCCCCAGTCACCTGTATGAAGGGATTCTTGGCCCCTTCTGCCATGTCCTTTGTACTATTTTGCTGTGTATAGGAGTGAAAACTTCTGAAACAATTGTGCTTCTGTTTTAGCATTAATTGTAAATATCGGTTGAAGTCATGTTTAACTCGGAACAATGCCATCGAATGTTCATTAAGTGGTAATGCTGTACTACACCAGAAATTGTACATGGAGACCAGGAAGTTTGGTGCGGAACTGTAACGGTGCGCATTGCTACGATGAAGGCCACAGAGTTCTTCTGCTCCATCGTGTTGTTATTTGGAAAGACAGTGCTGCACACACTTAGAAAGAAAACAGCATTAAAACAAAACTGTGACTGCAGATGTGGAGAGCCAGGGATGCATGCCCCTGCCTTGCATCTGGTTTTAAAATATGCATGTTCTCCAAGAATGCCCCCGGCACCACACACGGCTTCCTGGGGTCGGCTGACATTTATTTTCTCATCTTGTGGCTGCTCCGCAAGAGGGACATCCAGGTTCAGAGACCTTTGCTGAGTCTCATCTGTTCTGTGCAATGTCCCCAAGTGGCCACCAGCCTGGAGAAGTGGCAGACCCCGGCCGCTGGAGCAGAGAGGCGGTAGAGGTGGTGGGAAGATGCTCCGTGTGGCCTTTGGTGGGAAAGGGCGCTGAAACGAACCGTTTCGGAACCCCTGAGCCAGATGAGCACCCTTCACTTTGCTGAAGATGTAAAGGAATTGGCCCAATTTCCCCCTCAGAGCCATTATAATTGGGTTAATGAAGTAAAAATTTATAGTTAAAAATCAAGAAAATCTTCAAGCTAGGAGAATAAACAGAATGTGGATCAAGTTACTGGAGAAACATACGTTTTGCTATGTTGAAGGCAAATGCCGAAAACTGGACACTGGGTCATTTCCCGAAAGGCCTGCTGGGGGTTACTCAGCTTTCTGCTAAACGACAGTTGGCATTACTGGTTTACAGAGGCAGTGCAGGGGCATGTGCAAGGTGCACTTCTGGGAGCTGAGCACAGCCTCCTGAGTGGCATCCTTCAGAACAGGCATCCTTAGGTTGGCATGAGCAAGAGTATGCGCTGGAGTCCGAAAGGAACGACTGAAAACTCACAGAAGAAACCAGCACACATCTGTCGGGGTTCTTGTTCCAGCATTAAGAAGGGTTCAGGAAATCTGGAGAAGGCTGTGCGTAGATTAAATAGGAGTCCAGAAATGAAATATAATTTTGAAAGGCATTTGGGGGTCAGAGGAGCTTAGCTTAAAGGAAACTAAGTTCTAAGATCTCCTTGTCTCAGGACCCCATGCTTTTTATTAACACAATTTGTCCCGAGGCGAGGCAGAGATATACACTTCAAAGGGTCAGGGTTTAGTACAGAGGCATTGTCAGAATGGGGGAATTAGCCTATGGCTGTTCAGGTGTTTGGCCAGTAGGCAATAACATGTAGATTAAGATGCCCTGAGCTGTCTGGCAGCCACAATCATCCCTTTTCAGGTTTGGGGAAATGCCATCAGCCATTCCCAACAGGTGTGACTCAGCCCTTGTTGAGTCCCCAATTTCCATCAACCTTTTGATAAGACTCTTGCAATTATGACATACTGGAATTGGCTTAAGGCACACATCCACCAGGGTTCAAATCTCAGAGTGTGAATGTAATTATAGAGTCTGGTAAAATGTTCAATGGGTGCTGTCTCCCACCCACCAGGGACAATTGCTACTGCTTGCAATGTGTGTATAGATAGATCGGAACAAATTAGTTTCGTCATTTGCTTAGTTGGGCAGGATGTGCCTGCCCTGTTCTTAGTCATTCCACCCACCAGGAACTTCTGGGATGGTTGAGGTGGTGTCCTTTGGCCAGAGAAGATATTCTCTGGAATAAACTGGGAGTGAAGAAGTGGAGCCTTACCAGTTAAATCAAGTCACTTCTCACAACCTTGACCCTCTCATCTCTGTCCAAGTCCCTTTGGACAAGGCTTTCTTCACAGTGTCTTATTCCCATTTGTTCTTTACTTTCTCTCACTTGACCCATGCCATCCCTCCATCAGAATGAGTTTGGCAAGTAGTAAATGTCTTCAATCATTAGTCCCTTTAACTGCTATAACTAGGGTTTATTTGTGCTAGACTCTGGCTCTATAAATTGGATCAAACCCCTCTCTGTCTATACCACATGTGGTTTGCATTAATATCAGGAAGAATGTTTTATGCCAACCGTTGAGCTGAGCTTAGTAAGCTCCACAATACAATGGTATTCATTTCTTCTCTGCAACCCCGAAGCTCCTGTTTTCACATGTGAATGCCCTGATTCTCTCTACACGGGGTTCTAAGATAAATCAGAATAAGCCTAGAGCTGAGCAGACAGCTTAAGCAGTTTGTGGACTGTGGAGGCTGTGGCTAGCAGCATAGAGTGTCAGGAAATGGGATAAGGAGGTAAAGGTGTGATTAGTCAGAAAGTCAGACCAACTGGCAATACTCAGGCAAATTACAGAGTCCACAGAGACAGGTGTGCACTGATGATGACCAGATGTCAAAGCCAAGGGTGACTGATGTATGGGATTGTTAGCGGCATCCAGAAACTTCTAGTGGATGTACTGGGCTCTCCCCTCTCCACCCTTTTGAATCTCAAAAAATGTCATCCATGTGCTACTGGGTGGAGTTTAAAGTTGCAGGGATTCAGTTAAAAGCTCCTGCTTTTGCATGGAGGGCCCAGCCAGGATCTCTCTTTACTCTTCTAAATAGTAAAGAGATCCTTGAAAGGATCTCTTCATTTGTTCTCTTACCAGTGTGACCAAATGTGGAAAATAACTAAGGTGGCCACTGTGAATCTGTATAAATCTTAAGGAAGTTGGAACAGTTACTCCCAAAGATATCTTTAAAATCCAAGATTAAATTAAAATGGAAATTAAGATTTTCTGCACTGAATTTGACATTTCTTTGACAGTCCTATATGTGTTGATACCCCTGGTCAGTCAGATTAAATTCTTGGATTTTGGTCCAGGTGGTTGAAGAAAGGATCAAATTGCTTTGCTGTTTTTAAAATTCTTAGTTGTTAGAAAACTTAAATTAATACCTCTTTTATTAAAAAAATAAAACCTATAATATAAAAAGTATTATAGGTTGCCAATATAACTACAGTTGAAACAATATTTTTAGGGGAAATAATTGCAATCATTGATTTCATTGCAGTATGTATTGTTTTCAATCTTTTAAAATAATTTTTATTTGTACCACAAGCAAAAAAACAAACAAACAAAAAAACCCCTCTGATTTGCCAAATTTTTTTAATATCATTCCACCTTTTTCTATTACAGCCCTTCGGAGTGCTGCAATGCCTGGCCCACAGGACAGGGCAGTGAATGATGTGCCCACCAGGTTTAGGATGGCAGCTGAAATCTCAGAACACTTCCCAAATCTGGGAGAACTATTTTACCCCGTTGCCAATCCCCTGGTCTCTGATCCCTGGGTCAGGTTCAATAACACCTGTCCTCTAAGCATCTCAGACACAAATCACGAGCCACTTTGGAACAAGAGGGTCTCTGAGGGTAGCTACTCCAATGTTCATTGCTCTACTGAAGGGAGGTCAGTGTACTTATTCATTCCTTTTATTTTTAGACTAGAGGACTGGTGCATAAACTCATGCAGCGGTGGGGTCCCTCCGCCTGGCCTGAGCCCTCTTGCAATCTGGGACCCCTTGGTGGATGTCAGACTGCCAGTTTTGGCCCAATCCCTGCAGGCCAGGCTGAGGGATCCCACCGGTTCACGAATCTGTGCACCAGGCCTCTAGTATGCATATAAGATCTTTGGTTAATCGATTCCTGCCCTCCCCCTCCCCCATTCCCTCTGAGATTCATCAGTCTGTTTCATATTTCCATGTCTGTATGTTGAGTGTCTGCCCCCTGGTGGTCAGTGCACATCATAGCTACCAGTCAAATGGTTGAATGGTTGAAGGGTTGCTTAGGCTTTTATATATATAGATAGTAAGATAGAAACACAGGCAAAAAGGTTGTGACAATGACCACCATTAATTTCAATCTGAAAATGTGATAGAAACCCATGACCCTCTTTTGCTTCTAGGTGACTGCTTAACCCACTAAAACTGCATTTATTGCCAAGAGTGTGATGACAAAAATCACTTTTCTTAATTGCTCTTGAATGTAATGAGGCAGAAAAGAGAAGTCAGGTCTTTGGATCCCTAGCTTCATCAGTAGCTAATGAATCACACATTCCATCCCTGGATTCAGGTGGTTTTACTAGCAGTAGGCGCAGGAGTTGCTGGGCAGATGGCTCTGATATAGGACGCCGGTGCGCAAAAGTTCCCCTGCAGTTGGAGAGCTGTGCACCCACTGGGGCAGCCGGTGCTGCGGAACAGATGGATTTCCTGCCCTGGTTACTTCACCTGGGTTCTGTAACTCAAGAGGTCCCTGATGACAAATTCCTCCAACACTTATAAAACCACATTCCCAGGAAGGTCTTTCTGAGGTGAAGTGAAAGTTAACGGGAAGCACAGTGAGCAGCTGGGTCAGGTTGCATTTGGGAGGTTGGTTATGATTCGCACAATGCTGTGGACCGCAGGCATGTCCACTCTGCCCTGACCTGGTAAACACGGAGTGAACAAGCTTGCCAGTTCCTTTGCATGGCTTTTCTCTGGAGCAGGGAAAAATGCCACCCGGAAAGGCTACATTGGTGGTAAAAGGTGTCTTGCCAGCCTCGCCAAGAGGGCAACTGCTCACAAGTCACAACTAACATTAATCTCAATGATAGCTGATATTTATTAGGTACCTACCACCTGCCAACACTACTCTAAGAATCCAATGCGTGGAACTTTATTGACTCTTAAGAGCAAGTCTACAGAGTTGATGCCATCATCACCCCTGTTTTACAAATGAAAATGAAACAATTTAAAAACACTAAAATCTGGCTCTGTGATCTTAGGGAACCCAGACAACTTCTGGGAACCTGCATTTCAGTTTTACAACAGGGAAACTAAAATGTGATCAAGGTAAATGTTCTGTAGGAAGAGTAAGTTGTCATTTGAGATCCCAGGGATCTTGTCCATTTTCCTTTCCAAGCCTCCTTTCCCATGTTATCCCTTTATATTCCAAAGAGCATGGCAAATAGGTTTCATCACCTGTACCAGCTTCAATCAATTGGTAGTAGCATCCCAAAGCACGTGATGGGGAGGATTCTCAGGGAAACTGGAGTTCAGTGTGTCAGAGTGCTGTGATCACTTAATGATACCTGTCTTCTGTGGGTACAGGAGGAAGCCTACAAGGCAGGTGCGCGTGTCATGACCTTCCCCACAGTGCTGTCATTGTACCTTTGATGGGGAGCTGAAACAATAAATCAGTTCGTTAGCATCTATTCTGAGAAGCTTCTCCATGGTAGCTCTGTGCTGTCTCCTGCCCTCACTCCACCAACAACAACCCCATCCATCCTGTGAAGCAACAGTCGAATGCTACTACGCTGAGGAATGAACTCACTGTTGTGAGGTTGGCGCTTCTAAGAATTCCAATAGAAATTGGCTCCCAGTCAGAATACTTGACTTGAATCTCAATGTTAAACTGATCTAGCTCTATACCCAGGTTTGAGAATGCCTTTCTCTCACCAGTGAGGCAAGAGGTGGCTGTGAGGACTAGGCTGAGGGTCCTAGTTGGCTGGGTTCTCTCAACTTAGCCCAGAAGGTAAAAACCCAGGAGAGGGAAGAGGCAGAGAAGAAAGGCTGTGCATATGTGTGTATAGTGAACAGAATGGCAGCCCAGCAGAGGGTTTGGGGTGGGAATGTGGAAGTTCTGAGCTCTTCTCTCCCAGAGAGCATCTGTTTTTAACCATAAACAACATAGTGAAGAGTAGGAAGGGTCTATAGGCAGAGGTATCAGCTCTGGAACAGGACGAGAAAGGGGTGCACCAACAGGGCTATGAAGAAAGGCAAAGAGAGGCAGCAGAAACTTCAATGTCTTGCCTGTGCGCTTTATTTTGCTGCTGTTTTTTCTTGAATATTCTAGTTGTGGCGGGGCTGGGGTTGGTCATAGCCTGAGCAGGTTGGAGAAGAGACAAGAAAAGAGGAAAGAAGAAAAGGAGATAGAGTGAGCAGGAAATGATGTTGCATGCAGGAGAATAAGGTCTAAGCAGAGGAATGTGAAGATGGGGTCTTATAAAAGTAGAGCAGGGAAAAAATATGATGGGACACTCCTTAGCAATTAGGGAGTTATATAAAAAAGACACAGTTCTGTAATTCACCTTTTTGGAAGCAGGGGATTTTGATAATAACTTCAGGTCAGCAGTATTCTTCAAGAGACTACATATGAGAATGTGTCAAGAAGAACAAGTCGAGAGTGTAATAAATTCAAGTTACTCTACTCAGAGGAAAGTGGAGGCCTTGTTTTATTTAGGAATTAAAATCACCTTACATTGGTTGAAAAAGCCTTTCCATGAATGGCTACCAATATCAACAAAGGTTATCTATCACCAAGTCTGTGGCAAAAAGACGGATGACATTTTGAATGGTTCGTGTTTGCATGTCAGAAGCGAGACATGATGGACAGGGGTGGGGTTGCCAGCAGATGTAAGCTTGGGGATGACGGAATCTCCTATCGCTGGTCAGCAAACTCATTAGTCAACAGAGCCAAATATTAACAGTACTTCTTCAAAATAGACTCACCCAGGCCGAAAACCGACTTCTGCGCATGGGCCATGAAGTTTCAATCGCACTGTACGTGCGCCCACACGTGGTATTTTTGTGGAAAAGTCACACTCAAGGGGCCAAAAAGCCTCATGTGGCTCTCAAGCCGCAGTTTGCCAATCACGGTCCTAGACAATTAGATGCCAGAGCTGAAAGGAACCTTAGGGAGTGCCTACTGAGTTTCCTCATTCATCAGGTTGGGAAACATGAGACCGACTCTATGGTGCCCTCGGTGATCCTCACCTCACCAATGTAACCCTGTCCCCTTGAGTGTGGGCAGAACTTGCTTCTAGCCAACAGAATATGGCAACAGTTAGGGATGCCACTCTGTGATTATGTTACATGATAGGAGATGCCATCTTACTAGCAGACTTACTCTAGAGACTCTCCTGGCTGGTTGGTGAAGTAAGCGGGTGTGTTTGGGGAAGGCCACATGGCCAGGACCTGCGGTGGCCCCGGAACTGCAGGCAGCCCTCGTGGCTGGAAGCAGCCTTTGAGAGCTGAAAGAACCTCCAGACGACAGCGAGAACTGAGTCCTCAGTCCTATAACTTAAAAAAAAAATTAACTCAACTTGAATGAGTTTGGAAGCAGATTCTTCCCCAGACAAGTGTCCAGATGAGAATGCAGCCTGACACTGCAGCTTTCTGAGACTCTGATGCAAACACCCACAAAGCTGGCCTGACTTCAGACCCACAGAAACTGTGGCATAGTAAATCATGGCTATTTGTTCTGCAGCAACATATAGCACACACATGCAACCCGGGAAGGATAAATTGTTCGTCTACGGTAATTTCAGTGTAGATCAGAAAATATTTGTTTCTGTGCCCTGTATTTATGGTACTGCTTGGGATTGAATTATGTTCCCCCAGAAAGATGTGTTTAAGTTTTGACCCCAGGTACCTGTTAATGTGACCCTATTTGGTCCTTGATGTAATCAAGTTAAGATATCATATTATTTTAAAATACTAATATTAAAAATAGAACTTCCATAGCCCTGACATATGGCTCCTGTCAGAAAACACGCCCTAGTTGCATGCTTAATCCCCAGGAGGGGGCATACAGGAGGCAGCACGATCCTGATCAATGTTTTACGCTCACATGGATGTTTCTCTCTCTCTCCTCTTCCTTAAAAAAAATCAATAAAAAATCTATAAAAAAAATAGAACTGCCATGTATATGATCTAGCAATTCCACTTCTGGGTATTTATCCAAAGAAAACAAAAGTACAAACTAAAGAAGATCTATGCACCCTATGTTTATTGCATCATTATTTACAATAGCCAAGGCTTAGAAACAACCTGAGTGTCCATCAGTGAATGAATAAATACAGAATGGAATATATATATACACATAATTCAGCCATGAAAAACCAGGACATCTTGCCATTTGTGACAATATGGTTGGACCTTGAGGGCATTATGCCTAGTGAAATAAGATATACAGGAAAAGACAAATACCATGTGATCTCACTTATGTGTCAAACCTAGAAACAAACAAACAAGCTCATGGATACAGAGAACAGATTGGTGGTTGTCATGGATGGTTGTGTGGGGGGTTCAAAGGCACAACCTTCCACATAATCATGGGGATGTAAGGCACAGCATGGCAGCTGTACTGTACAGCTACATTGAAAGTTTCTAAGAGAGTAGATCTTAGAAGTTCTCATCACAAGAAAGAAAACCTTGTACTTATGTAGGATGATGGATGTTAACTAGACTTATTGTAGTGGTCATTTTACAATCTTACCTAATAATAGACAAACATGTAAATTAACCATTCCTCCACTATGCTCACCAGCCAATCAGGAGATTATGCAAATTAACCCAACAAAGATGGCGGTTAATTTGCATACACAGGGGTGAAGTGAAGGCTGAAGGCTACATCCGGAGCCGTGAAGGCTGAAGGTTCTGGCCGGAGTGAAGGCCTGGGTCCTGGGTGCCAGAGGAAAACTGGTGCTGGCAGTCAGGGGAAGGGAAGGCCTATTGCAACAATCTCTTCGTGCAATGGGCCTCTAGTCCTATATAATAAAAGGCCAGCAACCATAATGGCATAACGATTGGAATGACCGATAGACCGGTCACTGAGGTGCATTGACCACCTCTTGGTCCCCTCCCCCTAGCCAGCAGGCTCTGATCACTGGATGGCCAATGGGGAAACACAGGGAACCTGGCTTGGTGGTGGTGGGGCGGGACTGGGGACTGGTGAGCAGGTGGAAAGCAGACCTCTTGGTCCTGCCCCCCAGCCCACAGGCTGTGATTGATCCTCAGTTTCTTCCTAAAATAATGTGGTGCCTCCACTGTGCAGCCTCCCAGGACATGGACTCACTGCTGTGAGAGGCTCTGGGGGACCTCAACAAAGACTTCAGCGCCTGCAGCGACTCTCAGCCTTCCCTACTGGGAGGTGGATGGAGAGCTTCAGCTTTAAAGCACAAACACCCTCCTCAGGGAGAACTGCCACCTTCCTCTCCACAGTGGCTTCTGGTTCCCCAAGAAACTGACATGCTCCTCCCTGTGGGATGGGTGGGGACAGAGCCTGAGCTGAGTGGTTCTGCGATGAGGGAGGAGCTGAGCCAGCCAGCTGGGCCAGTGCAGGGACTGAGGGAAGGAGGAAGGGAAAGAGGGAGGACAGGGCAGGAGCAAGGGGGCAGCCCTGGTTCCATGCACCTCCTCCCACAGGTATAGCCCTTCCTGGTTGAGTTTCCCACATCATTTGGAACTTAATGCTAGATAGTAAGTGGAAGGAGCATAGTCATTTTGATTTTATCTTGGAAATATTAAGGCTAAACATTGGGTCAATACCACTTTTGGGGAGATATCTCAGACAAGAACAAAATTTATTATGTTTTGGCTGGTGACGCCGGCTGTGAAAAGATTCACAAGGAAGAGAAGAAACGGGTGCAGAGAGAGGGCGTTTATCTTACTTCTTTAAAGGGAGCAAAGGGCTAGGTGTCCTTTGATGGCACAAGGTACCTAAGGCAGAGTGGGATGTTCTTTTGATCGCTGGAGGAGTCGGGGTGGGTGGTGGTGGCGGGGCTGGACGGGGGACTGGTGAGAGGGTGAAGGATGGCCCTGAACGCAAGCTAGGCCTAGGGACCCTACCTGCGCATGATTTCGTGTGCTGGGCCTCCAGTATAAAAATATTATACATCTGACACTAATATAATGTTATATGTCAATTTTACTTCAATAATATTTTTTTACAAAGATAAGGTTATAACAGATTGGGGTGAGCTTTAAATTTAACAACTGGTGTTTTTCATAAGAAAAGGAAATTTTAGAGACAGAGGGGACACAGATATGTACAGGAAAGAAGATATGTGAAGACAGACACAGAAATTTCAACGATAAGCCAAGGAATTACAAGAATTCTGCCAACAACCAGAAACCAGGAGACAGGCATGGAAAGGAGTCTCCTTCAAAGTGTACAGAGGGAAATAATCCTGCCAACACCTCAATTTCAGACATCGGGACACCTGGGATAAATAAGTAAATTCCTGTTGTGTTAAGCCACTCAGTTTGTGCTAATTTGTTAGGGAAGCCCCAAGAAACTAAAATAAGCACCTTGGAAAGTAAGCTCTATGACCCAAGTTCTCAGACTCCTAAATGCAAATTCTTTAGAGTGATAAGATACCAGGACAGAGTTAGAGATGTGCAGGACAAAATGAGACTTGTGGTGAAATAAAGTGTGTGTGTGTGTGTGTGTGTGTGTACATGCTCATTCAAACCACATAACAAGTAGGCAATAGTTGGAACTTAATGCTAGATAGTAAGTGGAAGGAGCATAGTCATTTTGATTTTATTTTGGAAATATTAAGGCTAAACATTGGTCAATACCACTGTTAGGGAGATATTTCACACAAGAACAAAATTTATTATGTGCTAAAAACCTAATTCTATAAGCCAACAAAGAGTTAACATGGGATTGTGGGAAAGCCAATTAATCCGAAGGAAGGCAGAAATAGATAAAGGAACAAAAATCAGATGGGCCAAATAGAAAACAAATATCAAGATGATAGATTCAAACCCAACTATATCAATAATCACATTAAATGTAAATGGTCTAAATACCTCAATTAAAAGGAAGACTGCCATAATGGATTAAGAATATTAATATTCAGCTATATGTTGCCTACAAAAAAGTATTTAAAATATAAAGACATAAATGGATCAAAAGTAAAAGAGCATAAAAAAGCTTACTGTACTAATATTAATAAAAATAAAGCTTGAATGACTATATTTATACCAGACAAAGTACATTTCCAAAAAAAGAATGTGACTAGGGATAAAGAAGGTTACTTCATAATGGTAAAGATGTTGATTCATCAAGAAAACATAGCAATCATAAATGTGTATGTACCTAATAGCAGCACCTCAGAATATATGAAATTAAACTTGATAGAACTATAAGAGGAAATAGAAAAATTTTGGAGTACAGTATTTAATATTTTCATTATTTTGAGTATGGTCATGAGTTTTTATATATCTCAACACATCGAATATATGCTTTAAATGTTTACAGTTAATTATGTTCAATGGTATGTTTAAAATTATATTAGAAAACTACAAGAATAAAATAAACTGTTTAAATAATCAATAAACTAACATAAATTTTTGCTTTATCAGAAAATCAAAACCCTCCTAATGTCGTGCCTTTGGACATAAATAAATAAATAAATAAATTTAGTCATGGCTGATTTTAAGGAATAAAAATAATAGACAAGTCTAAAGTTTTAATAATTTTTATTTTAATTAAATATTGAAATAATGAATACCTCATCAGTAATATTAAGAGCCTTAAGTAATATGTTTTATAGTTAAGCATCCAAAAAAGACATTAACTGAGGCTGTATTGTATGAAATGGTGCCTCTTATTAAGTAAAATATAGCACACGAACAAAATTTATTTTTTTTTTAAAGAGAAATAACACTGAAAGGAAAATGTCCAACAAAATATTATGTAAAGGCAGATGTTTTAAACCCTTTAAATCTTCAGCATAGAAAACATATACATATTTTATGTTACATAGAAAGAGAAAAAAAGCCTGGCATAGTTATGCAATTTAATAAATGCACCTAAAATTAGATTTTTCAATTTTAAGTTTAATTTTTAAATTATTGTTATTGTTTCTAATTTTCCTGGTAGTTTTGTCACAATGAATTTACATTTAATACATTCAACACTTTCCAGTTTCAATGACTAGAGTAGAAAAGTTACAGAATTAAGAAAAGTCCCACAAGCATTTTAAATAAATAGCAGCTTTTGTACACAATAATCAAGAATGATGGACATAAAACAGAGAAGAAACTGTATTTCCTCAAGAAAGAAAATGATGAGTTCTCTCAGACGAAGAAAATTTGCAATACTAAAAATAAATTCAGACTTGAAGTGCATAAAAACTACCTTTTTTTGATGGCTTAAGTCATAGAAGAATATTTTAAAGAAGCTTTGAGAGGCTATTAAAATGTTAAGGATCATTAAATAAGGCCAAATCTTGGAACATATATGTATAAATGAAGGCACTCTAAAATTTATATATATAAAATTTCTACTTCAACAAATATGCAAAAATACATTGCATCACGTCAACATCCACCACCACAAATTATCTCTTTTCAGTTCTTTTCCCAAAACAATTTGATGAAAATAAACAAAATGTAAATTGGCTGAACTGAACCAAGCCACCAAGGGAAACTGTTACTTTGCTTGTTACTTATGAATCTTAATACATATTTGCAAAAATCCCTAGGAAGCCCAGATTTACCCTTGAAAATTACACCTTTTAATTTAAAGAAAGAAGGAAAGCTAAAGCTGTTTAACCAATTTGACAGGTATATAAAGTGCTAATAGTCCTAGTCTAGAAGGCTGGGAGCCTGTAAAGTTTATTTCATAGCAGAGTCATCCTATTTCATGGTAAATCTCTTCATCTATGGGAACTGCTGCTAGTGACCATTTCATCATGTTGAGTTTTGTAACTACAAGCATGAGTTAACTCATGACCCCAAAACAGTCTGATAAACAGAGCATTCCGGTTTGATTACCCTGGATCTATAGTTGTTGAATTTAGCAACACCCTTGCCAGTGTATGAATCAGCTCTCATTAAGCTTTTCCCCTAAAGCTTGTTTCTTGAAAAATCAATATATTTTAAACTTTCACATCACCATGTCTTTCCTCTTCCAATAAAAATGTAAAATGTCAACTTAAGTTGTTTCAAGACTAGATGATTGCAGAAGTGGGATGTGGCCTAGTCTACGAAATCTACCAGGTCAGTGTGCCCATGCTAATGACTTTTTAAATACAGAAATAGTCTGCCATGTTGTTACAAAGGTATCATGAGAAAGTGTCATTGAACGTAGGTGCCATTAGGAGTGTTCAGTGAGGAAGGTGGAAGTATCCCCACTTTAGGGACACTGACTGCGAGAGAAAAGAAAGTTAGTCTGTACATCAAAGACTTGTGCAAACCCTAAGTAGTCTGCCATTGAAACGCGTCATCACAGGACTCGCCAAGCAGTTTGATGAAACTTGCGTGTATATTTGCTTAGGGCTGGCAGGAATCTCTGAAGATATTAATCTGTTCCCTGACGAGCACACTGAGACTCTGAAAGCCCCTCGGCCTTTATGTCAAGTCACAAGACAGCGTCAGGCAGAGCAGAACTCCAGGTCCTGAGCTGCTCCTCACCGATTCCCAGCCTGCAATGGGAGACCCACGCTCACTCTGCCGTGCAACCCCCATGTCTGCTTCCTGTTGGTGACTCAGGATGAGGAGGTCGAATGGCCTCCCTCTTGC